TGTGCTGTATGTGCATACTAAAATTCTAAATTAATTTTAATCTTAGAGTAATGCATATAATTTATGAATTGCTCTAACTTGTTGAACAAAATATTTATTCATTATAATTTTTTATTATGGAAGTCGTCACTGTGTAACACAAATATAAATAATTAATGTCACGAGAGTAATAAAATTATCCTTCCAATGGCATCAAATTTTTTTGGAATACAACATGCTTTATATCTTGTACATACAACATTAAAAAATTGCTTTTCATAATTAAACTACCCGTTTCTCTTTAGTTTCACACTATTGAAGTGTCATTTCCTTTTTGATAATAAAATTTGGTTATGTCTAATCAACGGCATCGCCATAGCTCTTAAAAATTGAATATATTTCTCTTTAAAATTTTGTCCGAAAATAAACATGGTTAGCACTTGTACATCCCTAACATTCTTTTTGCATTGGATATACTTAAAAAAAATCAATATGATGGTGTAGCGTAAGACTACCGAAAAAACATTTAAAATTAAAGATTAATACTACGAAAAATCTTAAACCGGTACACCTATGACAAATTTACCCCAAACTAATTGTTTTACCACAAAAAACACCAAACTGGTACACCTGTGATAAATTTACCCTCCGTTAGCGTCTGTTTAAATTTACCTCCAAATTTCTGAGTTGGATGACACGTGATAGTTAACGGGTGTACCAGTTTAGGGGTTTACCTCTCTAGTTGTCACAAGTTTATCAATTTGTGATTTTTCGTGGTATTAATCCAATTTAATGTAGGGTAAATTTTTCATAAGTGTATCAATTTTGGGGTTTTTGGTGGTCAAAAAATTAGTTTGGGGTAAATTTGTCATATGTGTACCAGTTTGGAGTTTTTCATGGTCAAAAAATTAGTTCGAGATAAAATTATTACAAGTATATCAGTTTAGGATTTTCCGTGATATTAACCCAAAAAAATAAATAAAACAACTTTGAAAGAGTAGTGGAGCATGGGTATTTTTTAGGAATCTTAAAGATTCTTATAAAAAAACAAGGAATAGTGGAAAATCACATATTGCAGCTATCCAATTTCACTGAGGTTTTCCTTTGTTTCTTTCAGATGGCAACCCAGCTAAAAGTTCTCAACCTCTTGTTTTGCGAACATTTGAGAAGAACTCCCGACTTATCTGCTTTTAAAAGCTTAGAGATTTTGATTCTCGAAGCCTGTAGGCATCTAGAAGAAATTCATCCTTCTATCTGGTATATCAAGACCCTCGTCTCCTTGAATGTTAATAGTTGTGAGAGACTGAAGGAGCTACCGGTAAGAGTAGGAAGAATGGAAGAATCAAGGGAGCTTCTTATAAATGACACCGCTATAAAAGAGAATCCTATTTCGAGAGGTTGTTTGATGAAGCCAAAGACTCTACATGCCCTATGTTGTGATAAACTTGCTCAACTTCCAGAATCCATGGGCATCCTTATGTCGTTAACTCAGTTGAACTTAAGTGGGACATGGATTGAAGAATTACCTGAATCCATTGGTTCTATGGAGACGCTAGAGACTCTTGATGCCTCTCGGTGTGAATCATTAGCTCGCATATCTAGCTCCATAGGCAATCTAGCATGTCTATCTCTCCTCGACCTAGCGAGATGCTGTTCATTGAGAGAGATTCCTGACTCGATTGGAAAGTTGGCATCATTAACTGAACTACGATTAGCGACAACATCGATTACAGAATTACCAGAAAGCATTGGGAATCTACAAAATTTGAGGATCTTAAACATTAATTGGACCATCGTGACGGAATTGCCTAGTGCCATTGGGATGTTGGCGAAACTCCAAGAGTTGAGTGCAGTATGGTGCAAATATCTGAACGGACTGCCTAATAATACAGGCGAACTGGTTTCGCTAAACGAGCTTCATTTAGACTATTTGGGCATTTTGGACTTGCCAGAAAGCACACTACAAAAAAAGTTGGTTTTAGCGATGAATTTTGCCACGAAAAATTTGGCAAAATTTGTCGCTAAACGAATTTGCGACGAAATTAGCGACGGAAAAAAATTCGTCGCTAATAGGCCGTCGCAAAATTTTGCGACGGAAAATTTCAATTTTCATCGCTAATTTGCGACGAAAAAAAATTCGTCGCAAAATTTGTTGCTAATTTTTGTGGGAAAATTTGTCGCTAATTTGCCACGAAACAAAATTCGTCGCTAATTTTTCGTGGCAAATTTCGTCGCTAATTTGCCACAAACTTTATTCGTGGCAAAATTCGTCGCTATTTTTTTCAAAATTACTTTTGTCGGTCACGAAATTGCGACGAAATATTTTCGTGGCAAAAATTATTGCTAATTATTCGTGGCAAAATTTATCGCTAATTTGCGACGAACACATTTCGTGGCAAAATTCGTGGCTAATTTGCCACCAAATTTTTTTTTCGTCCATTTTTTGCGACGAACTTATTCGCGGCAAAATTCGTGGGTAATTTAAATTACCCACCAAAATGAATGTATTTCATTTTCTTATTCGATTTTAAATGTAATTTAAAGCAAAATTAATTTCTAGAATTTGTATTTAACATTGATTAAGCACTTAATAACATCAAAATATTATAATAATATGAAAATGAAATACATTCATCTACATTTTCCATGTACTTGAACATATAGCTCAATGTGATCAAACTATTATAATAATATGAAAATGAAATACATTCATCTACATTTTCCATGTACTTGAACATACAGCTCAATGTACTTGAACATCCTTGGCAAATCTCCCCCTCCGCATATCAACACATAGCTCAATGTACTTGAACATCCTTGGCAAATCTCCCCCTCCGCATATCAACACATAGCTCAATGTACTTGAACATAATCCTCTCAAGGGTATTTTGCCATGCTTGGGATCTCTTCGAGGTAATAAGATCGTGAAGTTCTTGCAGAGCATCTTGCTTCTTCTAGGATCCATGCAGAGCATTTTCTGGAATCCAGCAATTGCATCAGTGATAAGAATGCTGGATTGGCAATTTAATAACACTTCATACATTTCATTACATTGGTTCAGGGCACCAAAGGAGACATGATCTCGACCCTCATCTACAATTTTCAGTAGAGGATGGTCCATTACCAAGGATTGGCCACAAAGCACTACAATTATTAATTTGCGGTCAGGTCTTTTATGGCAACAAAGCACTACATTATCAACCCCCAAATCCATCATTTCCTAAGTCTTGCACAGTAGGCACATTGGCCACAGAGGATAGCAAAGAATCAGAGACAAGGAATCATAATATAACAGATAATTTGCAACTTATGATGGGAGAGTATTGTAACATGGTAGCAGCCAACACCCCTTACCCCCTCCTCCAAACGTCATAAAAAAACCAAAAGCAGAAAGACACATGAGCACCCATGTATTCCCAACACCCAGAGGGAGAAAAATGCAGACAAACGCAGATACCCAGGGAGGCAGAAGAGCATTGCCCATAGCAGGTGGTAGAATTACCTTTCCAACACCTGCGGAAGGTTCTCCATCTGGTCTGGGACGAGGTATGACCACATTCACCAAATTACCTGCAAAACAAGTATCATTAGAACGAAGAAAACAGCTTAGATTTTGAAATCTAGGTGAAGATATAAGGCTTTGGAAACTTCTTTCTGAATGTTAGGCCTGATTCTTTAAGCAGAATGTGGAACAAGAAAAGGCTGTAAAACAGAGATACAGCACAAAGAAAGAACAAAAATATTAATATACTTTTGGCGAGTCAAAAACCTCAAAATAAGAGCAGAAATTAACAAGAACTATATAGACAGTTCTTACCAAATTTTCCGCCTTCTTGTCTCATATCCTCCAATATATCTTCATACTCCCCATCATCTTTAAGCTCATCCTCAGTAACTACTTGTGTTAGACATACCACTTTAGTAGCAAGTGCACCAGGTTGAAACATAAGCTTCTGCAAAAGTTAAAAAGCCTTGGTAATTTAGACTTGAGGACATAATCGTAACAAGACAAATTAAAAAGAAGAAACCAATGTCACACATTCAATGAACCACATTTCAGTTAAAGTTCCAACTCACAGATGCAAAATAAAATAAAAGCGGAGATGACGCTGAAAAAAACTACTATGAATATACTCGAGAATATGTCAACAATGCTGCTATAATTCACGGAACTGAAATTGCAAGAATTAGCCAAAAAATTGAAATTGTAGAAAAACATGACCATGGAAAAGCACTCCTCAACGATGAATGTAAAAACCTTTCACCTGCAGAGCTATCTGCTGCTGTGCATGCAACAAAACACTCTCCTGTTCAGGTTTTGGTTGGTTTGCACCCTGGTTTAGCACGCCTAACAGTGAGAGTCTTGTCGCCCATTTTAATGCCATTGAGAGCTGCACAAGCTATATCCGAGACTGAGAGATCTTGATAAACGCAAAAAGCATAGCCTTTGGAATTTCCAGTCTCCCTGTCTTTCACTAGATCAAAACCCCTAAGAGGACCAAAAGATTCCAGCAGCTCCCTCACTTGCACTTCTGTAAAGTAATATGGTAATCCACCCACAAAAATGCGGTCAGGACCTTTCAAGCCCACCAGCAGAACCCGGGGTTAAACCAACCGCACCAAGATTTAGGTTAGGAATAGGTTGGCTAGGACCAAGAGTTGCTGCAAGGGAAGGGTTGTAATCACTGGGCCTCCTGACCTTCACAGGCGCTCCCTGCACAAAAATTCAAACTAGTTAACGTTTTGTCAATGTTGTAGATATATGAATGTCCTTGAAAAAAGGGGGCAGATCCACCGCAAGAAAAAATGTAGAATTATGTTAAAAATGTAATTGAACTTACCTCAAAGATAATGCCATCTAAGGCCATTGCATTGCTTGCCTTCTCAATAGATCTCACTTCCACAAAAGCAAACTTCTTTCATGGTTTATGTAAACATTGACAACAGCATCCCCTGTGCACATAAAAACAAAAGATGAAAATCAATACCATAATAGAAATGTGAACTAAAATAGTTATTAACTCAAGGACTTAAAATTAAAGTCCTCCTACCTCGACCTGCAGTATTTCCTCCAATAGCAGCCATAACCTGGCTAAAAAAGGTCGCAAGCATCTATCCAACGAAAGCTTCACAAAAATTAACACATGAAGCACTACCTTCTGCAAGTGAAGTCTGAGTGTTCTTGAGCATCTATCCAACGATTGCTTTGTCCTCTCCATTTTCTTCCTTTTCCCCAGAAAAAAAAAAAGGAAGAACACCCAAGAAAGAACTCACGCCGATTCAAGCCTCGCCCCGCTATTCGCAACAGCATAAAAAAAGGTCCAAAATTGCACGTCTATTCTCAAATTGGAGAACTGGGTCATTCATCAAACACTTGCAAAGCACCCTATCCTGACCCATTTACCCTATAAACTCACAAACATCATCTCAATTTCTCGATCAAGACTATACCCAATTCTAACGAAACAAGAGCAACGACAACCATTACAATAATCCGACGATGTATCTATCAGTTGACACACGAACATACTCGAGAACTTCAATAAGAAGGTCACAAAATCAGAGTAGACGGAATGTACAAATCTCGGAATGGGACCGACGGAACGGATATATCTCGGAATGGGAACGTACAAATCTCGGAATGGCTGGAAACTATTGAGGCCCTCCTCCCACAGGTAGCCGTCCCTCTCGACGGTGGTGATGTTGCCGCCGACGCGGTCCCTGGCCTCGGTGACGACCACGTCGGGGGCCCTGTCGCGGTGCTTCGTGGCGAGCGCCTGGGCGATGCAGAGCCCGCTGATCCCGCCCCCGACCACCACGCAATCAACCAGTCCCCCGCCGGCGGCCCTCGGCTGGGAGATCGCGGGGCCCTCGGCGACGGAGCACCGGATCTCGGCGGGCGCGCGGGAGGGCTTGTGGGAGCGGAACGGGCGGATGGCGACGGAGGAGGAGGCGACGGCGGCGGTGGCGGTGAGGGTGGCCATCATGGTTGGTGGAGGGGAGGAGGGAGCGACGGAGAGGTGTTTGGCGGAAGGGGGGCATCTGAGGAATAACAAAGAGAGGGCGGGGAGCAAAATTAGGGAATTTTGCCACGGACATAAGAGTTCATCGCTAAACAAAGCCTCGGACTTACTAACGAAATTAAAAAAAATCAAGCAAGAGTTTATTTTCATGGCTAAATTCGTGGCAAATTTGCCACGGATTTAGCCACGAATTTTTAAAAAAATGAATTTTAGGCGTTTTTGGACAATTTTTTTAAAATTCATGGCTATATCGGTGGCAATTTTGCCATGGATTTAGCCACGAATTTTAAAAAAATGAATTTTAGGCATTTTTGGACATTTTTTTAAAATTCGTGGCTAAATTTGCCACGGATTTAGCCACGAATACCATTTTTACTAGACTTTAATGAAATTCGTGGTAAATTTGCCACGGATTTAGCCGCGAATTTGATTTTTACTAGCCTTTAATGAAATTCGTGGCTAAATCCGTGGCAAATTTGCCACAGATTTAGCCACAAATTTGAAAAAATGCCCAAAAACGCCTAAAATTCATTTTTTAAAATTCGTGGCTAAATCCGTAGCAAATTTACCATGGATTTAGCCACGAATTTCATTTTTACTAGATTTTAATGAAATTCATGGCTAAATCCGTGGCTTGCCACAAATTTTAAAAAATTGCCCACACACGGCTAATTCAATTTGCCACGGATTTTGCCACGAATTTCATTTCTACTAGCATTTTTCAAATTCGTGGCTAAATCCGTGGCAAAATTGCCCACACACGCCTAATTCATTTTTTTTAAAATTCGTGGTTAAATCCGTGGCAAATTTGTCACGGATTTAGCTACGAATTTGAAAAAAATTGCCCACACACTCTTAATTCATTTTTTTTCAAATTCGTGGCTAAATCCGTGGCAAATTTGCCACGGATTTAGCCACGAATTTCATAAAAAAAATTGCCCACACACAGGCTAATTCATTTTTGGGTTAATACCACGAAAAACCCTAAATTGGTACGTTTGTAACAATTTTACCCCAAAACTATTTTTCTGACCATAAAAAACCCCAAACTGGTAAACTTGTGACAAATCTACCCCGAACTATTTTTTTGACCACCAAAAATCCCAAACTGGTATACATGTGACAATTTTACCCCGAACTAATTTTTTAATATTATTTTTTATTTTTCGAATTTTTTATTTATTTTTTTATTTTTTCTTTACTTTTTTTTTTCCTTTCTCTTCAACCTCTGGCCGGTGTTGGGCGAGGTCGACCTCGCCGGCATTGGGCGAGGTCAGCCTCGCCGGCGTTGGGCGAGTTCAGCCTCGCCGGCGTTGGGCGAGTTCAGTCTCTTCTTGCAACGGCGGGGCCGAGCCCTCGCCAGATCTGGCGAGGCTCGACCTCGCCGTTGCAGGGCAAGGCCGACCTCGCCCAATGTTGGCGAGGCTGACCTCGCCAGCGGCCGGCGGGACCAGGCCCTCGCCGGATCTGGCGAGGCTCGACCTCGCCGTTGCAGGGTAAGGCCGACCTCGCCCAACGCCGGCGAGGCTGACCTCGCCCTGCAACGGCGAGGTTGAGCCTCGCCAGATCTGGCGAGGGCCCGGTCCCATCGGCCGCTGGCGAGGTCGAGCCTCGCCGACGTTGGGCGAGGTCGTGCCTCGCCAGCGGCCGGCGGGGCCGGCCCTCGCAGATCTCGGCGAGGCTCGACCTCGCCGTTGCAAGGCGAGGCCGACCTCGCCTAACGCCGGCGAGATCGAGCCTCGCCAGTGGCCGGCGGGGCCGACCTCACCGGCTTCCGCCTCTGGCCGGTCGCCAGTCCAGCGACCGACCAAAGGTTGAAGAGAAAGGAAAAAAAAAAGTAAATAAAAAATAAAAAAATTCGAAAAATAAAAAATAATATAAAAAAAATTAGTTCGAGCTAAAATTGTCACATATATACCAGAACTATTTTTTTGGCGGTCAAAAAAATAGTTCGGGGTAGATTTGTCATAAGTGTACCAGTTTGGGGTTTTTTATGGTCAAAAAAATTGTTTGGGATGAAATTGTCACAAATGTACTAGTTTAGGGTTTTTCGTGGTATTAACCCTTCATTTTTTTTCAAATTTGTAGCTAAATCCATAGCAAATTTGCCACGGATTTCGCCACGAATTTCATTTCTACTAGCCTATTTTTCAAATTCGTGGCTAAATCTGTAGCTAATTTACCACGGATTTAACCATGAATTTGAAAAAAATTGCCCACACACGCCTAATTCATTTTTTTTCAAATTCATGGCTAAATCCGTGGCAAATTTACCACGGATTTAGCCACGAATTTCATTTTTACTAGCCTTAATCTTTACTTTCTTACCTCAACCTTAATCTTTACTTTCATCATAATCCATGGAAATAGTAGTGAAAATTCAGGTATTTATAAAATACAAAATATGAAGAAAATATATCAAAAAGTGTATTTACTCTTATTATACACCTTGGGACCTTGCAAAGGATTTTTTTTTTAAATATCATCTTTTTAAACAGATTTGCAACTTAGAACTTTTTAAGAACATTCATTATCAGTAGTTGAATACTATCAAATAGAATTTTAAAGAAATTGATATATGTAATTTCATTGTAACAGTTATTATCGCAAGCCTCCTTCCTGCATTTGTAAAACATTGTTAATGTCAAAACGTAAATGGACAAACTTCTCTATAACTTATTTAGTAAAAATAATCATTATCAAGGAAGAGAAAATTTTACCATGGTTTCTTCAAATGGCTCCGTGACGTTCTTATTTTTACCATGATTGCCACGAATTTGCCTCGAATTTAGCCACGAATTGTCCACACACGCCAATTTTTACTATATTAATTTCCGTGGCTAAATCCGTGGCTAATTAGCCACGGATTTAGCAATGGAAATTAAGTATTGTGGCATTTACCTACTATATTTATTTCCGTGGCTAATTAATTAGCCACGGATTTAGCCACGAAAATTAAGTATCGCGACATTTTCCTACTATATTTATTTCTGTGGCAAAATTCGTGGCTAATTAGCCACGGATTTAGCCACGAAAATTAAGTATCGCGGCATTTTCCTATTATATTTATTTCCGTGGCTAAATCAATGAAAAAACCTAGCCGTAGTATAAATAGGGCTCCAAAAAAAAAAATTTCCGGGGCTACGCCCCCGAATCCCCCGCAACATTTGCTCTCTTACTCCAGCTTGGGCAAACCACCATAGAAATTTGTTCGTGACGCGGAGGGTTTGTCACGCCCCGAACCCCCATCGAGCTCGCGACATTCCTTGCTCCAGTTGAGTAGTTGCGACGTCCCAGGAACGTCGCCGATCCAACCCAAACATCAGAGCCACATGCGGAAGCGAAAATAAAAACCCCAGACAAAAAGATGACGACAACGAGGTAGAACACCACAACAATCAAACAACAACATCTTCATACAGCACCAAACATACAAACATCATATTACAGACATAAATACAAACGAACATACTCCGCCACCGTTTTAATAAAAGATCAAGGTCTGGTTAACTTAACTTCCCTATGGGTCAACCCGATTTACACAACCCCTAAAACCCTAGGGAAAACCTAAGGATCGCCATTCTCCAATCTGCCCCTAATTCATCTGGTTCAATCCTCCGGAAATCTCTTGGGCATCGCTTGCGAATCCTCCGGCACCATGGGCGGCTCTTCATACTTCAAAAAGAGGAGGCAGTTCCCTGGGTTTATGGCTGGGGGTCTGAAAGTGGCGGTTATACAACCGTGAGACGAATCTCAATAAGTGTACAACCCCAAACCCCACGTAGGCACTCACGTACCGCCAGACGAAAACACACATAACACACAATCTATCAACCAAACTAACAATCACATGCGACCCTACCTGGAATTCCTCACGCACGTCCATGCACGTTAGTTAACCACACAGCCAGTATGCCACAGAAATACATCACCGCCGCGCGCGTGCCCCGATTATAGAGCAAAACCCACTTGGGCACGTCCCATACCATGCCTAGCAGTTTTTACCCCATAATCGAGCATCACACCACGCAATACAAACACACTCGCACACCAACTCACACCATGCATCACTTTTCACAATCCTCTCACATCTAGCCAAATCCAGCTCATTCTCAACCATTCCACCACTACCGCGCCCGCGTAAAACGCATCAGGCCAACGATCTTCTGACCTCGTCAGGCATCGTCACCCCGTCGGGTCGAGCATCGTCACCTCGTCAGGGACGGCATTGTCCCACGTAAACGCACACGCCTCAAGACGGAATCCTACACACACTTTCCTTCTACCGCGCCCACGTAAAACACATCAGGCCAACGGTCTTCTGACCACGTCAGGCATCGACACTTCGTCAGGCCGGGCATCGTCACCTCGTTAGGGACGGCATCGTCCCGCGTAAACGTACACGCCTCAAGACGGATCCTTTCCAACCAATCCCACATTTTCGTATCCTCGTTCCACTCAAACCACACTTACACACGGCCAACAAACGCACGGCCAAACATACACACCTCACACACACATTTCACAATTTCAAATTCTCGTCACACGAACACGCCACCCAATCATACACTCTTGGCACGCGAATTCAATGCATATTCACACGACCACGCCCCTACACCTCACGGCCACACAAACACGGCACACAACCACACCGCATTCAGCCCAATGCACAAATCAGAACCAGCCAACAACAGCACACAAAACAATTAATCCAATAAACCCGATCAAGCCAATACGATTCCAATTAATCACACCATTCAACCCCGATCGATCCTCAACATCACAGTCCTAATCGAGCCTCCTAAACCTCGAATTTCCCTCGACAATCAGTCCACAATCACCTAAACAACCAGCCATTAAACACAATTCACACAACCACGCACAAATTTCCATTCAAGGCACAATCCCATCAATTAATCGCACAATTCAGCCGCGATCATTTCGCATCACCTCGGCCCCATCCAAGCCTACCAAACCATGCATTTTCAATCTCCCAAATCAGTCCATAAC